TGATATCACATTTTGAATACTCTCTCATAGAATATCAGATTTAATACTTAATGGATGACTTGAGCTCATTCAAAGTCTTTGGATTGGTCCTAGAGGTATGTCCTGATTGAAAAGTTATTTTCAATTAGGCATTCATAAATGTTTAGATAACTTACTCAGATTTAAGTAAGACAACTTAATAATAATAATAAATATCAAGTTAATATTTAACGTTCTTACTTGCAAGTTTTGAATTTTTCCAGAAATTGGATTTCCATTTCTTCAGTTTGATCAGGTACAAATCGGAATTCAGATATGACACCTGCCGTGTGCTGTTCAGGATCATAGTCGCCCAGTTCAGCTAAATTTACAGTCAAAAATTAATCAAGTAAATAACTGTAAGCATTATCTTTATTTAACTCATTTATAAATATAGCATTAGGGTATTTTGATTTATTTTATTTATTAAAATGATATGAATATATAATTAAAAAATTTATTAAGTAAGTCTCTTCCCGTTAAACTTCCAGGAAGATTTTTACTTTTACCTCTTCGTCATCCTCCACAACTATTAAAGTCAACCTCTTGTTTTTAAAATTCAGTTTGGTGATTTTTGGCCAAAAGAACAGTCCAATTTTTGTATTTCCTTCAAAGACTAGTATTCCTGTTGGTGTTAAGCCCAAGGAATATGTATTACCATCTTTACCCTGGATTACAAAAAAGTTTGTAGTCATGAATAAAAAATAATATGAATTATATATAAATATTTTTAATAAAACTCACCATAACATAATGATTATCGACTCCATACATCTCCAACCATTTTGCTCTGTTCAGATAANCAGACCATACATACAAATAATGTTCTGTGACATTAAATGGGAGCTAAAAACTGTAGCCCCCCATATCTTGTCTAAGTCTAAATATATGTAGATACATACTTACTGTATCATTGTATTTTATATGACTACTGGGACAAAGCTACAGGCTATCTTACCTTTCCAATGTAGGTAAATTCTGCTGAATAGTTGACAAAAATCACACCACCAAAAAGTACAAGCATTTTATATATATATATTCTCTTAATTCCAACATATATATGTATATGTTAGAAATTGGAATTAAGAGAAATATAGCAATAGAAAGAAGGGGATGAAGATAAAGAACAGAGAGAGTCAGGAAGAGAAGCAGCCATCTCAACTGGTATTTTGTATGAACTAATCAGTATCAGCCATACATGCCAGTCAGAAAAATCAGCCTTCACACCCCCTTGCACCAATGATTAATGTCTAAATGTGGCCATTCACTATATCAGTTCTGTTCTTAAGTAATTAAATAATTATGTTCTAATTTTTATCTTAAAGTTAATTTCAACTATAAATTAAATGATATGGAAATTATTGACCTGGTTTCATACTGTTTCAAATCCAGCTGGCTATCAGCCAGGCAATTTTACATAAATTTATAAAATATCAATTTTTAAGTGGCTATGCCAATTAATTCATTAATGTGTATGAGAAATTTAAGAAATATATTTCACTTCCAACATGTAAAGACGTTATTTTATTAAAGTTATTTTCATTAATACATTTTTTCCTCATTCATATTCAAGTTATTTATTTCTTGACGAGCAAGCTTGGCACCAAGCCATTCGTTTTTGGATCAAATCTTACAAATTACTCTTTTTGCTATTTTGTAAATGTCATAATAATTACTTATAATGCCAGTAATTAATAATTACATATTAATTATCTTATCATCATAAAAAACCCTTTTCTGAAGATTTTATTGTGATTATAATTTACCAGAAAATAATTTATCATCAAAGAATTATAGCCAAATATACAGAAAGTACACACACAATATGTTATTTAATATTCTACACATGAATAAGAAAATATTTCTCTACAAAGGCTGTCCATCGATTACATTATTTTGAGCCATTTTTTGCCTCCCTTCTCTTTAACTGTGTACAATAGTTTGCAGACCCTCCTGACATTGACAACATGACTAAAGAAAGTTCTGTAAATATTTTCTAACAAATAATTTATTCATATGATTGGTAAATAGACTTATAATGGCAAATTAACATGCCAATAATACCAATAAGAACTCCATGTAGACAATGTATTGCCCTCATCCCTCCCTTGTTGTGTACAACAATGTGCTTTTTGTAGTCCCCTACCTCTAAATTATAAGTTATCCTGGCAATTCTACATCAAATCATGTACAGTAATGTTAACTTCATCTTTAACACATAGTTTTGCAGATATGTTTAAACATTATTTAATGATGTTATAAATGATGATGGATGTTTTCTCTATCAATTACCTTTTAAATATTATAATAAAATAAAGAAAGGAATAGTTACTAAGCATGTTATAATGTAAGAAATGTAAGAAACATTAAGTCATTTTTAATTTCTTTATCTTTTTATATAGTATAAATTAGCTGGGGAGCTTTAAGAAATGCTAATATGATTGATGCTAGTCACCTATACATGACCAGCCACAATTTCATCCAATATAATGACCTGCTATGCAACAGAGGTGACTGAATGGCATATGTAAGATATATACACCCTAGACTCTTGCTAATCTGACCATTCTTTATATATAATACCAGATTAATGAGAGTGTATAGGTTTAAAGTATGCCTAAAGGCAATGAATAACATAACCTGTTGCAGTTTGGTATGGTTCCTTTTTGGAAACAAGCAGAAAAAGACATGGCTTGCCAACATGCTTACTGCACAAAGAAATGAAACTCTAGTAAGCAGGAAAGCTGGATGTGTGATACGACTACAATTCCTCGGAAACAGAAGCATGGGCAATCACACTGAAATTCTGCCAAAAAATTGAAAGGTTACAACAAGAACATACCATAAATATAACAGGAATGTGGCATTGTTTTCTTGCATCTCGTATCACTAGGTATCAGTCAAATACCTTAAGTCCTATGAGATGTCAAAGTTTAACCTTTGATACTTCATAGAGCATTACAATGTCTGCTTGATGATTAAGCACCATCTGCCTATTTTTAACTTCTTTATTAGCATGCCACAACACAGATATAAGAGCATCATAAAAAGTTGCAAAACATCGGAGTCGAACCTCCAAAAGGCAATTGGAAT